CGACCGTCACGAAAAAAATCAATCAAATCAATTTAACAAATTAAATATATTATAATATAATAATAGATTATCGTATTACAAAATTTCGTACTATTCAAACAAAATATTTAGTAGTTACCATCAAACCTATTCGTTTATCGTTCCGATCGAATCTGCTATTGTTGTCTCCTTTTAACTGTGTACGTTAGACAGAAAAAGATATATTATTGGATATATGATATAAACAATGGAACACACACAATTTTAAAACGTTACATTGTTTATTTAATTTTTACAATTGATCATTAAGTATTTTATTTAAAGAAAAAGACTGTAATTGGAAGAAAAATCGTTTAAGAATAGAGCTTTTAAGAGGAACAATAAGATAACATTTTGGCAAAAAGGCGAGATTCAGTCCACTAAAGATTAGTATATTGTTCTATCTAACCCTAAAATGATTGGTGTTCCCTCGAAAATCAAACACAAAGCAAAAATAATTAAAGCGATATTTCATTACATATAGCGCACACAGTTCCCTAGAAATTTCCTTAATTTGCTCATCCAGTAGTATCTGAAAAAGGTTAGTTTTGAGGCGTTTTAGGTTGCTTAAATTTTTGATTTTATTTAGCAAATTATTTAAACATGAAACAATATTTTATTATTAACTTTATATTTTATTTTGTTTGTACTGCTGAGACATGGATATTTGAAAATGGTACAATTGGTCTTGACAAGATATTAATATAAAAACTGTAAAAACCACTAAAGTTCATGCGATCCGTATGCAAAATTTCTATGGGAAACGTAAATTATAAATGCCACTTTACTTCCTCACTAATCCACTAGATTTTAATTGTAGCTTATAGCACGTAGTATTTAAATTTCCTGATATATTGAGTAGTTTTTGGGTACATTTTTGCAAAACAACGCGAATACATTCACTGACATGACCGCCAGAATTGATAAACGTCGGATCCGTGGGTAACGAAACTGACATGGTAAAGTGACGCTTCCCGCACTCTAGATCGGTGTGTAATTAGGCAGACGGGACGGGACGGGAGTACAAAAATGATTCAAATATTTCCGGGATTTTACCGCACCAAACCAATCAGATGTTTTCGGAGATATTTCCCACGCCTTGAATTTTGAAGTTTGTTAATTCTGACGGTCATGTCAGTGAATGTAGTCGTGTTGTTTTTCGAAAATGCACCCAAAATCTAACGGTTGTGGAAAAAGTATAGTATACAACATTCCGCTGCGCTCCAGTCTTGCCAAATAAACTCGTGAATCAGATTCTGCTTACCACACTTGTTGCATAATAAACTATTTTGTACTGCCTACGCTAAATTATGCACCTCTCAAGTGTGTCCAAAGTGTCCATTTAAGACGTTACACGCACAAGCGCCATTTTTTCTTTCAATTTTGACGGTCGGGTGACATCACTCAATGAATCCATTCGCGCTGCTTTGCTAAAAACAACTTGATAATCTTCTAAAGCAGGTGCAGTCGCGTATGGATAGGTGCAATCTGTTTAATTCTAAGTTTAAATTACACATTACAACGTTGTTGATTCGCTGTTAATACTTTTCCGCATGCCACATGAACAATTTGCCAGTAACAATTCACTGCTAAAAAACTACCCCTATTCAAATAGTGGCAAAAAGAGGAAGAATCTCTTTTCTATCGCGCGTATCGGGGGATGCGATTAATGAGCGGCGAGTCCATTTCAGATTCCCAATCTATTATGTTTATAGACTGGAAAAACGATTAAAATAATGACAGAAAAAGATCGGCGCCGTAATCGGATCTGTGCGATTTAAGTGTAAGGACGCGAACGGGAACGCATTAATTTAAGCGCAGATCGAGAAATTAGCCAATTTGTTTGTGCGATCCTTTTATCCTTGGCGTCCTCGTTCCGTGTTTTATTGGGTATTATCGTGCCAATCGCTTTTTTTCCTCTCTCTGTGCACGGGCTGATAGAGAAATATAGCGGAAGGGCGGACGAGAAATAAATTCCGGGTGCCCCGGACTAAAATAAAATAGAAGGCATAACAAATGTTCCGCAAAAACGAGGCAAATGTGCGGCGGCCGAAATGATATATTTATTATAATGGCGTGCGTTCTGATTCCGCCATAAATTTCGTCGTTTGTCGATTCCAACGCGCGGATTCAATAAAAACCATCGCCGCTCTCTTTAGGCCGGTCTCAATTTCGTTGTGACGCGACGTGACAAACCAACAATGACATTTATCCCGAAGAGATCAAACCCATAGTTCAGAAAATTTCTGAAATCTTTCTGCCAGCATAAACTAAAACACAGCCCCCGTAGAAAAGAAGATTCCCCCAAGCGTTAAAAAGCCTAAAAAACATAAAAAAAGTCAGCCAGCACAAAATATCGCCATTGAAATAATGGATAGAGAACCAGTTAAGTAGTCCTGACTACGAATTTCTATAATTGGTCACAAAAAATGCAGCATTCCAAAAAACGCGAAGGAGCAGAGAATAATGTTGCGGAAAATTTCAAAACTAATTAAACATTTTTTTGACATCCATATAGCAGAATAAACTGTATATTTGGAACAACGTTGCCAGACGTATCGTAAATTCTAGACAGTTTCGAATTTGTCGGTGGGACTTGGTGAATATTTACTTATCTTGTGACAGCTATTGAATTTTGCTGCTAAACACACTGTCAAGATCCAAATTGAAGCTCTATTGATTTTTAAGAAAAAATCAAGTACTTCTAAATATATTTTATATGTTGCGAGGATGTAGTTTTCACAGTTGCACTATAATAATAGTTGCAATATAATAATAAACATATCACAATCGTTACACGTTCTTAACATTTAATCTACAGAACTGTAATAGTCCATGAATCACTAATTTTTACTTGATTATCTACAAAAATCTGGCCAACGTTTTTATCAACATCATCTTGAGGCCATTTTCAAAATCAAGAAAATCCTAAGTAAAATTAACTGAATAGTGTTTGGAAAATATACAACAACTAACTAAAAAGGAGATTGTGATTTTTGACTATTTTCCTATTTTCGTTTTAGGTTGTTCAGTGAATAAATTTGAAATTCGAAAAGCTTTCTCCTCTGAGAATGATAAATAAAAATCAAAAAATGATCAGTGAAACGAAAATCAACGTTGTCAGTTTGATTTCATACTAATGCACTCACACTTAATAATAAATACTGATTTTTTCTAAATAAATGAATTGCTTTAATGCTTTGAGTTATATAGCTCCATTTCTATTACGGCTCTCGACATTAAGTCATTGGAAACAACCCTTCCTCTCAACTCTTATTATTGTAGGAAAATGCAACACTTACAGTCAAGCACATCGCAACCATAATTCAGAAGGTCCAAAACTTTCCCCCTTAAGCAACACTCCCCAGCGTTCAAATTAGCAAGTTCTGCGGTGTCCCACTGTCCCCTCGAAGTGATACATTACGGTTTCGTTAGCGCTGCGTCACCTATTAGTTTCCATTATTGTCAGAAGGTGGCGCCTATTTAGCGGAGAACCACACAACGCGACGTTACCGACGACTCATACGAAACCCGCAGGTCGTACGATTTATTTTCTATTTTCTTTCTCTTACTTTTTTCTCGTCACATGACTAATTGGCATTTTCGCTTCCCCAGGGCGTGTGTAATAAATCGGCCGTATGATTGATTTGTATCCATACGCAAGGGTAAGCCTAAATGGTACATAATAAATTTAATTTCGTAAATGTAAGTCCATCATGACTGCACTTTTTCTCGGCAGCATTCCGCCGTTTAGGGTTCAAAAGACTTTAATAAATCCACCCTTATATGATTATTCGCCTGGGGCCGTACTAGGGGGGGCTATTTTGGATACAGGGTTAAGTCTCGTTTCTCAATTTTACCCCATATTGACATTAGTTGGTTTGAGTCTTTTTCGATGCCTTTAGGGCACGTTCCGTTCAAATGTGAAGATTGCATTCGACCTTCACATTTGTCTGTATCTTAGTTTTTTCATTAAAAAAAAAGTTACTTTTCAGCATCTATATCGATTTTCATTTCATTTTCATAGAAGTTGCTTTAGATATTTCGTTAATTGTTGAGTACAAAAGGAACAACACGCTGCTTAACCCTGGTTTTTAATATTACAAAATTACAATCGCAATTTTTAAAATGTATTTTTGATTAAAGCTTTGCCGTACAATTTTTTTCGATGAAAATGTTTACCCCAACGCCACTGGCGAAAGTACCAAAAATAAAACGCATCCGGACTCGTTGATATAAACTTTTTTTCTTGAAATCATGCATAGAATTGCGCATAACATATTCACAATAATGGTGTCACTGCTGGGCATATTTTGGGACCGATATTTATAGATCAAAAGTTAACTGGAGATCCTTATTTGCAACTCCTAGAGCTCCAAATAGAAGACAATATAGAATATTTACCCCTAAATATACCAGCACTGAATATATGACAGCAAGACAGTACCACTCCTCACAATGTTCTTCAAATTAAAAATTTTCTTAAAATCCCAGGGGTTGGATAGGGAACGGCGGAACTATGGATTGGCCAGCCAACAGGCCCAACTTAACTTTATAGGATTTTTTCTTTTGGGGACATATAAAAAATCACGTACACGTATTAATGTCGTGGAACTTCGGCAAGGGATTTCAGAGGCAATCAACCAGTTAAGAGACAATACAGTAATATTTAAAATACTTTTTACAAAACTTCTGGATTCCTCTAGCGTCGGTTTTTGCTGAATCGAACTTGCTGCCGTTTCGCCAATCATCCTGTTGGCTACTTCAGAGTTTGACTGAAACTGACTTTTTACAAAACTTCTGGATTCGTCCTGCGTCGGTTTTTGCTGAGCTTGACTGAAACTGTTTCAGTCTAGCTCTGAAGAAGCCAACAGGATGATTGGCGAAACGTCAGCAAGTTCGACTAAGCAAAAACCTTCGCAGGAGGAATCCAGAAGTTTTGTGAAAAGTCAGTTTCTAAACTAAAATATTACATCATTGTAATCGGAATAAGATATTCTATTAAACATACATAATATAATGGGTGTTTCAATGAAAAAAATATGATGTTTGCTTAGATGTCAGAAAATTGATAGTGTTTTGTTGTCACTTAGAAAAAAGACATTTGTTTACCCTGATATTTCTGAAAACAAAATAGTTATAAGGTTTCAGGCTTCTAGGAGACGGTGAGTCAACTGTAATTGACTGATTTTTTTTAAATTATATTTTAAATATAAGTGTACCTCCCGAAGATATGTTTTGTTAATTAATTATTATAAGGGGTGTTTTTTTTCGATGTATAGAACTTTAAGTTGCAATAAAACAACGATGGATTATTCGGTTGACATGAATTTTATTTATCCGAAAGATAATCTTGTGGCATTACATTTTAAATATAATTTCTGGCATATGACCGCCACGGCTGGCGCGGATGTAGTCCAATCTGAACGTCCAATTTTCGATGACTTTTTCCAACATTTGTGGCCGTATGTCGACAATAACACGGCGAATGTTGTCTTCCAAATGGTCAAGCGTTTGTGGCTTTTCCGCATAGACCAATGGCTTTACATAGCCCCACAGAAAGTAGTTTAGCGGTGTTAAATCACAAGATCTTGGAGACCAATTTACAGGTCCAAAACGTGAAATTAGGCGGTCACCAAACGTGTCTTTCAATAAATCGATTGTGGCACGAGCTGTGTGACATGTTGCGCCGTCATGTTGACACCACATCTCCTGGACATCATGGTTATTCAATTCAGAAATGAAAGAGTTAGTAATCATAGCTCTATACCGATCACCATTGACTGTAACGTCTTGGCCATCATCGTTTTTGAAGAAGTACGGACCAATTGCTCCACCAGTCCATAAAGTGCACCAAACAGTCAGTTTTTCTGGATGTAACGGTGTTTCGACATACACTTGATTAGCTTAGCTCCAAATGCGGTAGTTTTGTTTGTTGACGTAGCCATTCAATCAGAAGTGCGCTTCATCGCTAAACAAAATTCGCTTATGAAAATCGGGAACAACGGCAATCTCGTTTTGAGCCCATTCGACGAATCTACGCCTTACTTGATGATCGTTTGGCTGCAATACTTGCACGAGTTGGATTTTGTAAGCACGTAAACCTTCCGCAAAATCTTTCATAAAGTGGATGGACACAGATCCAATTCCTGTGCTCGATGGCGGATGTACTCATTCGGGTCTTCCTCATTGCTACGCTCTACAGCAGCAATAGCTTCTTCTGTACGTACCGTACGGCGTCTCTGGGGATGCGAGTTATCAATAAGAGTAAACGTGGTGCGAAAACGTTCTGTGGTTAATCGAATTAACTGCTTTGATGGACGATTTTGTCGACGATAAAATGGACGTATTGCGCGATACATATTCCGCACAGAACCATTATTTTCGAAATAAAATTGCACTATTTGCAAGCGTTGTTCAGGCGTGAGTCTATTCATGATGAATTGCCTACTAACTGAGAATAAATCACTTGACAGCTGTTAAATCGGTCGCCATCTTGAACAGTAATGCCAACTTAAAGTTCTATACATCGAACAAAAACACCCATTATTTATTTATTTAATTATAAACAAGCCTATCTTAGAAATAGACGCAGCTGTCTAATAAAATAAAAGCACAAAATATCGCAAAGAAAAGCATACATAACTGAACTTGCTCAAGTTATTTTATATAGCAAGCAATAATAAATTAAAAAAAAAATATGCATTAAGTGTAGGAATTTCGCGTTAGGTGTTGTTTAAAGCCCCGAAAACTTAGGGCAAATATACCTAAGTAAGGATTAGTGTTAAAAAGTCATTTTTCCAGAACAAACTGAGGTTAAATTAAATTGTTTACAGCTTGATAAACAAAGACTAAAACAGTTGTTTCGGCTTGCGCAAGTCGTTTAGAGTTTAAGTTACAGATGAAGAGAACAGTTTTAATTTCCAGCTGCATTGTTGCTGCAGTGTTAATAGCCTTTTACCGAGTATACTAATTTAGTCATTTTTAGATCAGCGCATAATGAGTAGCTAGTGTGCAAAATGCGAACATCACATAGAAAAATGATGATGATATTAATTAATTAATACAAATAAGTTGATCCATGAGGTGTAGTAAGAATAGTTACTAATTTGTAAAGAAACTTGAAATAATAGATATTCACTTTAATAGTTACAATGTAATTCCACTCCTTATTACTTTACATTACAGAAATACAAATTACAATTGGTAAGAAATTCCAGTCAGTTATTTATTTCCTACTTCTCTTTTGAAGCACAATTTGATTAACTTTACAATGTATCCCATTCTACAAAAACTATTATGGTAACAGCTGCAACTATCTCTTTACCGTCCAATGAACCTCTGCGATATCCACAACTCGATAGCGTGATTCTGAATAAGAAGCAATTTTGGTCCCTATTGGATAACTTTCAGTACGCATCCGAACTTCTTCAGACCTAATAAGGGATATTGTGAGTTGCCAAAACTTTCCCAATATCATATCGGAAAAATTAGAGCGATACAATAACCAGCCACTTTCATAAATACTTCGAAATTATCGCCGCCTTCTCAATTCTCTCCCTTCCAAGAAAGCTACTCGTAAGAACGAAAACTGAAGTTTCTTTAAAGGAACGAGTACTCCCTTGTGGGTAATAATATTATTGAAGCATGTAACGTTCGTAGCGAAACTTTAGCAGACAGTTTTCTTGTTTGATGCCAAGGGAAAAATTTTAATAAAATTTTATTAACAAACAATGTCCCATTCGACGCAAATGGAAAAACATTCAGAAAGAAGCAAGAATACGAAGTAACGTGTGTGTAACACGAGGTTCGCAAGTTGAAACAAGGATGAGGGAACGGATATGGGTGGAATAGCGCAATAACGCGCTGCTCGGTTGACCCACGCTGGCCTAACAGACTATGTAATATGCTAAAGGCAACTAGGATCCTAATTTTAGCACCTCATCCTCTCTCTTGAAATCTTTAACCTAAGCGTCTAGTCTTTCAACTAGTTACAATAGCATTGTCGGTAAATTTATATTTGGGATTACCCATAAGATTTTATACCACTGATCGAAACCATTTGATACTTTCAAGATCTAAGGTATTGAAGTCTACATCAATTCTTCCCCTATATTTCAAAGGAAAAGGAATTGAAACTACTTGTTAATCTAGTAAGCCTTGCGATAAGGCTTGTTAATTTTATTTTTATTTTTTATTTGAAAAAAATGTATAATAACCCGAAAGTTAAAACTTTCACTGTTAGAAGAGTAAGAGATTAAAACAAAAGCTTGCCGATTGATCTATTTGCCAGGGGAATGAATTTAAAAATGAAAATTAAGCAATATGTGAACACATTTGTCAGCAGAACGGGTCCCCCGATTTGATAGAAAGAAACGTAAAACGACGAAAACTACGATAAACATCTCCATTCTTTGTCTTAACTCCCCTAAAATTTGTTTAGGACCACTTCGGTTTGTCTGTATAAATCTATAAATCTTGTTTAGTGCCTTCTATCACAACATCCCTGTTTTGTTTATCTTATTTGTGTTTTCATTTACAAGATAACTCCCACGAACAAAACTAACAAGATACTATTTTGTCCAACTTGCCTTTTAATCAATATTTTGGCGAAAATTTTTTGGAAAATCTGCTTCGAACACAACATAACTTAAACTGCAAGCGCGCTGGTGTCTGGAGTTTACGACACACATATTCGATATGAAACTTACGTGTTATCCGAAGACTCCTTCGAGACCCATTCGCCCAATGAATACTGATAAACAATCTCACTTTGCGATCTGTTTGAATCATCAGATGCGAGTTCCCGAAGGAAGGTCTTCGGATGACTAAGTATTGAAACATTCAAACTGCTTATTCGCCCATGGCGTTCGATAAGGCGAGGGATAGGCGTTACTTCCTCACTGCTTCCATTTGGTCAATTCGGCAGTGATAGATGAAATAGGTTAAAAGCATAGGTCGGTAAAGTTTTGCGACCATCTAGTTCTATCTAAAATAAATTTCTGAAAAACTAATTTAAAAAAGATGTTATATGCACTTGTTATTCATAAAAATATTTCAGGGATTCGATTTCTATGAAGTAACGTTGGTCGAGTTCTTAATCAATTTTCATTCAGGCTTCGAACGCTCTTTAGCTGCATCTGAAGTAGGCAGCGGATTCAATGCTAAAAATATTATTCAAAACATTTATATCGTAGTGCAGAAGTTTTTAAATTAACGTTATTAACATTATTTTCCGAAAATTATCAGAATCATCAATATTTTGCCGTTTCCGAACTCTTAATGACGATAGTTCAATTTAAACCACCTGATTCTAATTTTCTAATCTAATCACAAAATTCGTACCAAAATTTCATTGATAACATAATTCTATATCCTGATTTGAGGATAAACACACGGTTTTTAAACGAAATTAGAGTTTATTTTGATCGATAGGAGAGCGAAACGGGCGTACCGCCATCTAGAACATCGCTGCCACTACATGAGGGAGCTAAATCAATACAGAGCAGGGCGCTGCTGCAGGAATCGTTCTGGCAGCATTCTCATATGAAACTGTTCATTCTGAAATGTGTAGGGAGCGCTGGTTACGGGAAAGTCGCTTGTTACCAACATTTCATTAACAACATAAAATGTATTTTTTATTAGTGTTCAAAGTGATGTCCATTAGTCATCGCCTCATGATACTATAAGTTCGGGTTTGTCTCGAGATTTTTTGAACACAACTAAAATCGCTATCAGCATTTTGACTGTTTTGCATAAGCTATTCTAACAAGTTTCGAGAGAAAAATGCTTGTTTAATTAGCTTTGTAAGTAACTGTGAGTTACATATTAAAAAAATCAACTTTTTGTTATTACAATTAAAATTCAGGATACAAACTGTATTTTTGGAAATTTTCAGTTGTATTAGTACAACCTTTGCTTGTATTGGTGTTTATGGTGCGAATATTTTTCGGAAAAACGATTTCGCTAAAAAATTAATTATTTATAATAAATATAGGGTGTACACTGTGAGGAATTAGACATATAACAAAAAGAGGTATAATGTAAATATATATTTCATTTGGTGAAATTATATTTAAAATCATAATTTATGAGTAAAATAATTATTAAACAGTTTTCCAAAATAAACACAACAAACGGAATTAAAGAAAAGACCTTTTTGTATAAGAAATTCAGAAATATCTGCTACCAACTAAGCTTACGCTTACAGACACAATCTTACGTTGTGTAATTAAGGCAAATGAAAGTTCGAAGTTCTTTTAGTTTCAAATTTCTTTTTTCTACTTCCGTCTGTAAAATAATTAATTACACACCGATCTAGCGTGCGGGAAGCATCACTTTACTGCGTCAGTTTCGTTTCTCACGGATCCGAGCCACTTCGGACATTTCCCGGATTTTACCGCACGGGTTTCGGAACAGTCGGATGTTTTCAGAGATATTTCCCACGCTTTGAATTTTGACATTTGTCAATTTGGACGGTCATATCAGTGAATGTATTCGTGTTGTTTTGCGCAAATGTACCCAAAAACTAACGGTCGCAGAAAAAGTATAGTATGCAACACGTTCCGTAAACTTTTCAAGTCACTCGTTTATTAAACGCTCGCTCCGCTCGTCTCAAATAAACTCTTGAGTCAAATGCGGTTTACCGCACTTGTTGCATAATATACTATTAACCGCTAGTTTATACATCACAGGACATCCCAGAAAAAGAATTCTTACCACATTTTCGCCGGGTTCATATTTTCTATAACGTACCTCAAACTTTCGTTTCATAATAAAAGATCTTTTTCGTTTAAATAAAAATATTGTTTGGAAAATTGCTTTTTGATATTCTGCCCTTCTTGTCAAGGCTGCCATATATTTCTTTCTCTCTCAATTAAAGCAATTATCTACGTATTAATTCGCATCACAATCCAACACACCCATAAAATCGGTATGACATTTTGATAAAATGCCCGCCGACACTTCTGTTAAATTAAATGATTTCGGGATACTGTTGAGGTTTTAGAAAATCAGAAAAATGCAAACAAAATGCAAATTTCGGAAAGCCAAATTGTGCTGCCACCAGAACTATTGCCAGAGTTCAGATAAATGAAGTTATTTTTTTACCAAATAGGGATTACATGCAACATTTCAAGTGTTTATTCCTACTCAGAGACAGATAAGCGTATAAATAACGTTAGTGGTCTAATGACAACGTACAGTGTAGGTGTAGTTGAAATACGATTTATGCAGCATGGATTTTAGATTAGTTATTATATTTTTTATAGCATTAACTACGAGGTAAGTATGGTCGTTTATATACCACTCCAATCACATATTGTTTTTTAGCCGAGCGGATGATTTTTCGAGTATTTACTCTGACGATGTAAGCAATAAATATTTTCCTGAGAATTTTTTGTTCGGTTACGCGTCCGCTGCATACCAGTACGAAGGTGCTTGGGATGAGGACGGAAAAGGACCCAGCGTATGGGACTGGGACGCACATAACACAAATTGGTTTCCTGTAGGCCAGAACGGTGATATCGGTCCCGATGGGTATCACAAAACCGACGAAGATGTTGGTAATAAAATATTAAATTGATAAAATTAGCCGAAGTTGATCAAATATACTGAGCAATTTTTGCTCACCGTTATGCTCATAGAAGGAAGCATTTAAAGTACTATCATATTCGGATCGCTGGACCGAGGATTTCCTGCGTTCCTAGCGTACTTGCTTCAGTAATGATAATGATGTTGAATAATAGTCCAGAAAACTGAACTAGTAACATGAAGGAATAGTTTGAATAGGGCAATATTTTCAGGTATTCTGAAGGCCCAAGGAGTTCAAGCTTACCGGTTCTCCATAGCGTGGTCCAGGGTACTTCCAACGGGATTAATTGACAATATTAACCAAAAAGGCCTTGACTATTACAAAGATTTAATTGCTAAACTAAAGGCGAATAATATCGAGCCCCTAGTAACGATGCACCACTGGGATATACCCCGAGTTTTAGAAGAGCAAGGTGGTTTTTTAAATACTGTAAGTAGCCAGCAATTCTTGAAGAATACGATTCCTTATTAAAAAACAGTAATTAGTTATAATTAAGTTATTACTTCTATTAGTAACTACGCATTGTGTTGCAGTCACTTATCGTCCCGGCATTTGTTGATTACGCTACACTTCTTTTCAAAACGTACGGCAATGACGTGAAATACTGGGCCACGTTCAACGAGCCTAAACAAACATGTGCAGGGGGTTACGAATGGGGAGGAATATCCCCTCAGAATTTGCATCCAGGGTTTGGAGCATACCTTTGTTCCTACAATCTTCTAAAAGCGCATGCTAAAGCTTATAGGGTTTATGACGAGCAGTTCAGAGCTAGTCAGAATGGTATGTGATCTGACTATTCTATATTCATAGTCAATTCCAGGAAGTGTGATCTTTCAGGGTTTATTTCTATGGTAATTGATACACCGTGGATCGAACCAGCCACGGATTCGGCTCTAGATGCCGAAGCAGCTGAAAGAAATCTGCAATTTTTCGTAAGCAAAATTTTCGGCTATTTGACAAAAACAATGGCAAAAGTAAAGTCCTCAAATTTCTTTACGTTAACTAGAATCTTATATTAACGTTCCATTAATTAATTTAACGATAAAATAAAATAGTTTTACGTCTAAAAAATAGTAATAATCAATAATGACTAAACCAGGGATAAAATAAAAATAAAACTATAAAGAAGATTTTCAATTCTTTCAAACATATGTTCAAATACTTTTCAACATCTTATAATAACGTTTCTTCCCCATATAACAGACGTTTAAACAATATTGTTGTTATTAATGTGTTATCTTGTATACAATGCTTAATTCTATATAAATTCATGTTATAGTACGGCTGGTGGGCAAATCCTATTGTCAACGGAGATTACCCCGAAATTATGAAGGAGAGAGTTAGAGAAAGGAGTCTCAGAGAAGGTTACAATCGATCAAGGCTTCCGTCTTTCACGGATGAAGAGAAACAGGAACTCAAAGGAAGCTATGACTATTTAACTATTAATATGTATACTTCGAACTTGGCTACTTACATCAACGATGTTGACAATGCTGTTAATTTCGCGAATGACATATCCGTGTTACTAACACAGCCAGCAGATTGGGAACAAACAGCGGCTGACTGGTTTAGGGTGAGTTTTTTTTAAGTAAAATTTCCGGTGCTTATAAAATATTTGTTGTTCATTTTTATTGATGCTAATATAACCAGTAGTCGATAAGATAGAGATAAACATTGTATTGTTGATTTTGTTGATTGTTGATTGGCAAAGCACTTCTGTGTAATCTCAAATCAGAATGTTGATACCGTTAAAAGAAAAAGTTATGAAAAAATTCCGTAACATTCCTTAATTAATATTTAAATATTTCTAATATGAGTTTATTTGTTTTATTTATATAAACCTGTCCAATAAACAACAGCAAAGAAATTGTTATTAAAATATAAATAATATAAAACACATTTATATATCCCAAATTTAGGTGTATCCGCCTGGTGCCCGTCGGGTGATTAACTGGATTCGCGATCGATTCGGCGATGAAAAGGGCATTATCGTTACAGAAAACGGTTACACGGACTTCGGCAACAACCTTCAAGATTTAGACACGAGAGGTCGTTACCACATGGTAAACCGTTTTCCAAAACTGAAATAACAACGCAATAAGTTGCAACATTTTTTAGAACTATCTCAGCAACATAAATGACGCAATACACGTCGATGGCGTTAACGTGACCGGCTATATGGCGTGGAGTTTCATCAATGACGTCGAATGGTATGCGGGTTGGATGTAGGTATTGTATACTTAAACTGGGTGTCTTTTAATCCCGCGGGTGTTGAATTTGTTTGCAGCGTAAATCTGGGACACTACTATGTTGATTTCGATAGTCCAGCACGCACGAGGACACCGAAGGAATCGGCAGCCTACTATCGGAAAATTGCTACTACGAAATGTCTAGTTGATAGTTGCGTTAATTAATTTGCAATATAGTCAATGAATGGTTGGTTCGATTTTTTATTTCGCTACTCTACCTCGCTACCCAAACAAATAAAAAAATATCTTTCGCGAAAGCTTTCTACTTACCGAATTCACGAATACCAAGTGGCTATTAAATTATGTTATTTCTGTTTTGTACAGTTCGTCTAAATATCTATCAAAACCGCCATCAAAAATATGATTTTTTTACTAACTATCTTTATCCATGAGTAATCGATATTTCAAAAAAATTGACAACCAAACCAATGAGCTTCTTTGACAAGGCCAGTAAGATATGCTAAGAAATTTGTCTATTCTATGACCCTGTCTATGAACGAAAAGTTATTTTTCTAAATTTATTTTGAGCGCAGCCTTAAGAACTATATGATAATTTCTTCAAATTTAACAAAAGAAAACAATTCGAAACTACCACAAAAAACAATGCCCAGTCAACTAGGGCTTCCCAGTGATAAAACCTAATATTTGAAGGCGACAATAAACTTGCTTTCTTGCTGAGTTAGATGTCACCAGTAACAAGATAGCTCATAAATTTTATCTGTAATTACATACAGGAATCGTTTTTTGTTCTTGTGGCCAAATCGCATCGCATGCGCACGCTAATCGCATAGTGTAGGCTGGTTTGTTTACATTTTGGTTTTGATACAAAAAACAACGTTGAATTTTGGAAAAGTGCATTTATTGAAAACGGTAAATCAAGACGATCCATTTATTGCAAATGATCGCATATTTAAAAGAAGCTAGAGGATGGTACACCACCCCTTAAAACCAAGTGTTAATTACATATCAACCTCTTAACAGATATACACTTTATAACGTTTGACAAATGAGTCTCCTAAACTAAGAAATGTAAGAGTATCATAGTGGGCGGATGTAGGTTCACAAATTCTTTTATATTTACAAGTAACGTTCTTATGTTTCTTATATTTACTTACAAGCATTAAGGAATTTTATGTCAGTACACCAAGAAACGTGTGAGCTAAAAAACTGGGACAACGTCTTCTCTAGATTGCTGAGATGTACCTCAGAGAAGGATGTATTGGAAAAGCGACTTTTTTTACCAATACTAATTGTCCGAATTCTCGTCGTCCACACAAACGGGTACCTTGCAAAAATGTCTCACTGGGACAAGAGGTGCAATTTGGCACGTATAGCATATAGTATTTCCTTATCGCTACTTGCGTCTGCTGCTAACTTCTCATGTAGCAGAAAACAGCAGCACTGAAAAGAAATTCAAACATATTTTTTTGGCTGATAAATGTTGATTACGCAAATTTTCTTGACAAAAATTTGATAAGGACGGGTAGCCAATAATTTGTTATCGGGGCGATACGAACTTAATTGCTTTTTGAATAACCTTTTTGCGTCAGTCATTCAATGCCAAATTACTCGAACCGTAACAAGCAAGAAATGGAAACACAACAGCAATGCTGGATTCAAAATAAAGTACCGATATGATACGGGCGCAATCAAACGAATTATGTACACCATATTTGCACCGATGATATCTTTAGTAATCATTTTGCAACATCCTGTATAAGATTTACAAGAAAAAATATATTTTTTGTTTTACTGTCAGTTTAGTTATTTTAACGTCAAAACAGGCATTTCATCACATTTATCAGCTCTCACAAGCAATTTTTTAAAATCTAATTGACACATATGTTGAGGTTTCTGAGGAAAAACTTTGTTGATTGGTTTCCCGAAGACACTTCCTTATATTGCTACGATTTCTGCAACCATGTGCAATTTGCGTAACGATTCCACTAAAAACGTGTTATTCAAACGCCGAAAGCTCCGCCACTGATTTATGTTTTGTACACAGCGGGATATGTTGCACAAATTAACTCTCTTCTTTTTTGCTGCCGGCAAGGGCGTTTGAAACGTCGTTTCTCTTAAATTCGTCGCTGACCGCTTCTTTCAGCATACTCCAAAGTGCGTCTTTATTCAGCAAAACATACTGATAATTTTTGATGTCGGGATTAAATAAAGTTTCGTCTTTCTCGATCAACATCCGACGAGGTATGTTATGGATTTGTTCCGTGTTAATGTATCTAGGGGAAGCGGTACTTCTTAGAATTACAGTTGGAGCGATAGGTGCCCTTACTGTTGTCGGTGTGCTTGTAAGGGTCTGATGAGTCCAAGATGACGTAGCGTTTATGTCGCTTGGTGAAGACGGGTTACTTTCAGTCGACGTCGGTAGAATGTCTAAGGTGGTGATATTCTCTGCTGGCTCTTGCACATTCTCGGTATCTGAAAGCAAACTGACCATTTCGAAATGTCGTTTTAACGATTTCGTCTGCTCAATTATTTTTAAGATGCTTGGGGCGACGGTGTGGTTCGACGGGTTATCGCCTGAAGACATTGATTCCGTTTTCGTAAGTTCCAATTTTTTTGAATCCTCAAATATATTGGTTGCCGACGTACTCAAGTTAAACATGGGGTCGGCAATCTTTTCGACCAAGATCGTGGCGGATGGTCCAGAAAATTCTTTTTCTCTACACTCTTTTGAAATGTCCAATTGGTTGTTACCATTTTCGTTTGTTCCAAACCACGTTACGAGATCGTCGGTGGTGACAGAACTGAGCAAGGAGCTTTTTGATTGCGAATGGAAGAAAGTTTCCGCAGCGAGGTCTTCCCTCGATGAAGGATATATCCTAGCATAAGCGGGTCGCGCAGAACTTATGACAAACGGGCTTCTGATACTATATTGCACGCAAACGGGACACGAGGTCGATATGTTGGCGAAAGTGAGCCAAAGCTTGTTGTCGTGAGTGCTGTGCTGCATTTCTGCCATTTCCTGCGGAGGATTCAGCAGTTGCGGAGGAATTGATGTAAGCTCAAAACCCGAGAACAGTGCCACGTCTAGTCGAAGTATAGGGGACGGCTTAGATCCTTTCCACCTAAAGCACAAGATGCCCAACATTAACGAAGACAAAAAGTGACACACGGTGACAAAGCATATACCAATCCCACATTACTTGTTAATAACAAGTTTTTTTTTTTATTCTTGGAAAATCTTTCTTTAGGTTATTCTGGCTTCCAGACAAAAATTATTTTCTCGAAAACTATTCATCTGATAAGCAAAATTCTTTAACCTAGGGATGCGGAAGATCCGGTACTATAACTTTTATTTCAGACATTTTTTCGATTATATTCAGAGTTTTTTAATTATGAACTAATATCTAAAAGGCCCTGAAAATTATTTTTTTGCAGAGTAAATTATAAATCAAAATTCGTAAAAAATATGGCTAATTGGTTTAGCTGCTATTGCAGATTGCAACAAGAGCTACAATTTTGGTATTTACGGTTCTCGTCTCTCACATATACTGTTCGAGATATTTAAAAAAATCTAAATGAAAGTCACTATTTCCCGCCCTCAATCTAGGAAAGCAAGTCATTTACTATCACGGCGCATTGCATGGTTTCATAAAACAAGTATTTTCTCGAAAAACATTTATCCCATTGAAAAAATTAATATACCGGCAAACATGGGAGATCTGGGGCTATAACTTTTACTTCGGGCATTTTTTGGTTTATATAAAGGGTGTGTCGATTAGGGGATAAAAAATCTTACAGATCCTGAAAATTGCTTTTTTGCTGGGAAGGTTATTAGTATATGAAAAACTATAAAACACGAAGAGCGCAAATGACTTACTTGAAGCATGTCTTTACTTTTAACATTGGTAATTTTCCATCGATTTCTTCAACAGAACTAGATTCAGATTGTAGCTCTTCTAGAATCTCGGATCCAATTTCCAACAGAGGAGTTTTGTTTTTGGCAGCGTAGGTTGAGTAGGCTATTTTACCCTGTTAACAGAAGAAGAAAGGTCATTTTCATTTAATGAATATATGGGAGCTCTGAACAACGCTTGCAATTAGTGGAATTTTATTTCGAAAATAATGGTTCTGTGCGGAATACGTAACGCGCACTACGTCCATTTTATCGTCGACAAAATCGTCTATCAGAGCAGTTAATTCGATTAACCATGGAACGTTTTCGTACCACGTTTACTCTTATTGATAACTCGCATCCCCAGAGACGCCGTACGGTGCGTACAGAAGAAGCTATTGCTGCTGTAGAGCGTAGCATTGAGGAAGACCCGAATGAGTCCATCCGCCATCGAGCACAGGAATTGGATTGTGTCCATCCACTTTATGGAAGAATTTGCGGAAGGATCTTGGTTCACGTGCTTACAAAATCCAACTCGTGCAAGAATTGAAGCCAAACGATCATAAAGTAAGGCGTAGATCCGTCGAATGGGACCAAAACGAGATTGCCGTTGTTCCCGATTTTCATAAGCGAATTTTGTTTAGCGATGAAGCGCACTTCTGGTGGAATGGCTACGTCAACAAACAAAACTGCCGCATTTGGGGCGAAGCTAATCCTCAAGTGTATGTCGAAACACCGTTACACCCAGAAAAACTGACTGTTTTGTGCGCTTTATGGGCTGGTGGAATCATAGGTCCGTACTTCTTCAAAAACGATGATGGCCAGAACGTTACAGTCAATGGTGATCGGTATAGAGCTATGATTACTAACTCTTTCATTCCTGAATTGAATAACCATGATGTCCAGGAGATGTGGTTTCAACAAGACGGCGCAACATGTCACACAGCTAGTGCCACAATCGATTTATTGAAAGACACGTTTGGTGACCATCTAATTTCACGTTTTTGACCTGTGAATTGGCCTCCAAGATCTTGTGATTTAACACCGCTAGACTACTTTCTGTGAGGCTATGTAGAGTCATTGGTCTATGCGGATAAGCCATAAATGCTTGACCATTTGGAAGACTACATTCGCCGTGTTATTGCCGATATACGGCCACAAATGTTGGAAAAAGTCATCGAAAATTGGATGTCCAGATTGGACTACATCCGCGCCAGCCGTGGCTGTCATATGCCAGAAATCATATTTAAAATGTAATGCCATAAGATTATAAATAAAATAAAAATAAATAAAATTTATGTCAATCGAATAATCCATCGTTGTTTTATCGCAACTTAAAGTTCTATACATCGAAAAAAAACACCCCTTATATTCGAATGTCTCAGGACGATTAGAATACTTTCTTTTATCCGCGTTGTCAAAAACAATGAGTGGAATTTTAGCATGTAAAAATGGTAACCTATTTTTACATTCTAAAAATCTGTTGGTTTGAAATAATATGACTTACTTAAAAGTTTCCATGTCACTGAGTGAATTGTAAGGGTTTCAAATAGAAAATATATTTAACAAACCCAAATATGAATAGACGAATAAAAAGTATCACCGGTATTCACGAAAACGTGTAGCTTTGTAATGTTTAACTATTGTTTGGTTATTACCTGCACTGTTGCGCAACCCGCACCAGTCGCATAAACAAAAACCTTAGTGGGTAAACTTGGCAGGTACAGAGTTTGGGATTGTCTGTTTTTATTGAGTTCCAACGTATCTGTAAGTTCCATTCCGGAAGTGGCTAGCGACACGACAAGAGACCTTAAATGCAATATAATTAAGCAACATTTTATTTGTTATTTCTTGTTTATTTACCGATGACGGTCTCTCGTAAGGGCGTCGTATTTGGAGAAAGCTTTGACTGCCGGATAAAAGAGATCGTAGTGGTTGTCCAACATGTGGGAGCGGTAAAACAAAAATTTCGAAACACTTTCAGCAGTTCTAAGATCGCCGATGATGCAGAAAGTTGAGAGGGCATATATCGAAGCTTTGTACTCTTCCACCGTGGCTGAAAAGTATTAGTTATATATTAAATATACCACACCTACCGGAAATTACAAACCAGCTAAAGGCTCCTTCAGTATTTTTCCAGTTTCGGACTCGTACAACCAATCGGCGGCGTCCTTCTTCGGTACAAAATGTGTCCATCCAAACTCGCCGTCTTCCGTGGTTGATGCGTTTCTTAATTTTTCGATTGCCCAAGCAGCTGTCGCACTTCTAACCTGTGAATTAAATTGTTCTAATCAGCACACCTGCACATACTGTTTGAGTTTTTTTTTACTATGAGAACTGATCCGCATGAAATAAATGTCTTACCAGTACTAACGCAAGTGCAACGGCGGCAATTGTTTCTGGAAGCTCAATGTTGGGTAAGCTGTTCTCGATAAATATCTTTGCCTTTTGAATTGCATCTGGAAAGAAAGCAATTGCCATTAGTAGAAACGACTTATTTAGAATGTCTCGTATATAACATAGGTGGTAGGATAACTCTCAATATAACATCTATATTTATGCTCGGCTGGAGATTCGTCATCCAAAAAAAGGTCATACATAAACTAAATTAAATATGCTTTTTAAAATGGCTTTTTTACAGAATAATTTTCCTTAACGAGATTAAAATTGTCAAGTATTGCACCGGGAGGTATCTTAAAGAATAAGTATTTTTAACGAAATGTACGCTATCCAATTTTTTTGAAGTTTTTGAATTGTTTTCGTATATTTGAACCATTTTCAATGACAAAAATTAAAATCATGTACATTTACGTGGTACTTTTATGAAACATTTCTTTTTGCACCCTTTGTAATATGACTAGGAAAATGACTACTATTAGCTTGATTCTAACCATGTAGACTAAAACGTAAGAATTTTCGCACTGTGTTGCAAAACCTTTTTTAAAATATTTAATTGACTTTTTAATTTAATATGATTTAATATGACTCAGAAAGGGGGTTTTACATCGATGTCTAGTGGTATATAAGGGTTTTCATTACTATAATGCTGGAAGACGCCAATTTTGACTAGTATTTGAAACATATGGACAACAAAAGGTAACTGTTTGGATCAAAAAAGTAGTTTGAGCTGATATCTGCAGTTTTGATGCGGTTTTAGGTTCGATGTGTGTCGGAGGGGCCGATTTTGACTGGAGTCTGCTTGAAAAATGGAAGTAATTAATCCAAGAAAGTGGGTTTTTCAGTAGTTATCTGCAGTTTTAATGTAGATTTGGGTCCGGTAAGTTATGAAAATGCTGGTTTTTACTATAATCTACTCGGAATCAAGAGCGAAAACCATTTATTTGTCCCAAAAAGAGGGGTTTTAAATACATATCTGCTTTTCTAGTGTAGATTTGAGTGCATTAAGAGGCGAAAAAGCAGATTCTCAGTATCTACGTTCATATCAACATTTTTTTTAAGACCAATTTCCAGCGGATCATGTTTTTGAAACAGTCCGTCAATGCATGAAATACAATTTTCATTAACAATTATTAGCATTTAAGTTTACCTGAATCGGCATCCGTCTGGATTCCGATTTCATATAATGATATTATGGTCTCCGCAGTGATTTCAACTATATTTTCCTGAATTATCGCCTCATCTGTAAGGTTCTTTCTTGAGTTCGAACTAAAAAACAGATTTAATTACATTTTAGGTCATGAAAAAATTGAGGTAAGTTATTTACAATTTCAGTGACATAAATAATTTTCTTAGGTAGGGTGAAAGTTAAATTACTAAGCAGCATTGTATCCACATCAAAACCAAAATGAACAGTGAATAAAACGTTTACTTTTATTTAATAGTGTTTCTAAACAAGGAATTTGTATTACCAACTACTTAGAGAAATCTTGACATCTGCGTCTAGTGGTGTAAACCTTCCATCGTCTTCTTGACGCAATTGAACCCAACGTTTTATTGACTGGATAAGTTCTGGGTCAATACTAAAATAGAGTTGCACTTTTGATAGAGCCTCCAATATAGACACTGTAGCCTTATGACTGCCCAACATTGGATGCGGACTAAACGAATTGTCCTCCTTTCTGAATGATAAAATGGACTGTATCTGAAATTTTTGTAATGTTATAACCATAATAAAAATATTTTTATAACGTATTTTGGTCTATTATTTGTTTTAATTAACTTTCAGGGTTCAAACTTTACAGGAAGATTAAAATAAACTTTAAACAAACTCATTGCTTTTAGAGATACTTGTTAAGAATTAGATAGTTATTACTGACTCGTGGTGGCAACAAATTGGCGATTTCTTCCCGGCTGGAGTCGTTCGTGCTCAGATGTAAATGCTGAAGCGGCAAAGTTGGAGTTAGGGATGCTAAAGCTTCGCTTAAACCGTATCCTTCGATATATTTTAAACTGGGTACGGATATTCCGCCGGTAATTACCAGTTTGCCTCTTTCAGATCCTGGGACTACTTTCTTCGGCGTATCTAGATGGAGAACTTGACTGAAACCTGCCTCGTCATTGTTATTCCAAATCCTAGTAAATATTTATAGCTTAAAGTTACGCGGACGCTATCACCACTGTTTCTGTATACCTGAATTCGGCCAGATTACCCCAAGCGGATGCAAATCCAATATAACGCACTTTAAATTTTTTATCCATGCGCCATTTAAGTAATGTCATGTTATTTAATTCGGACCCATTACCGAAGGAGATCACGTTATCGTGCCAAGAAATCGAAAACGTAGTCCAATCATTTAGCGCCAAAATATTAGGCATTGTTATCGAAGCCAATTGGATTCCATAATCTATGAAGCAAAAAAAAACATTCTATTATAAAATAAAGTATCTGATCATTAAAACAAAATCTAATAACGAGAACGGATTGTTAATATAAACAAAATTCGTTTTTCGAAACGCCATTCTCGTAATGTGGTATTTTAATAATAGTAGTAATAGTATTTTTTGCAACAAGTTTAATAAACGAGTGACTGCAGAAATTTATCGACATGATGGATACTGTATTTTTTCTACGACCATTAGTTTTCAGGTACATTTTTACCAAACAACACGAATACATTAGCTCAGTGACGTGTGATGGGATCGTTAGAATTATCAAAATACTATCCGTACACATGCTACCACTCCCAAACGTATGACTAAAGTATCAGAAATGTCGGAACTGATTCGCAACCCGTGACTCCTAACCCACGTTTGATTGCTGCATACTTTTGTATTTTAGAGCAAAAAGCAGAAATATATTTTTAAATTAAACCGGAATTAACTTAGCACTATTAGCTGATGATAATCAATGTTACCAAAGTATAATTTAATAATAAAGATTATTTCTGAGAGGAGAGAAGCATACTTCAATCAATCAAAGCACAAGCCATTGGAAATTGCCCCAAAATTAAGATAAAATACTGATTTCAAACATGGTTTGAATCTGAAGGATATCTGAAAAATAATAATAATTTTAAAAGAGTAATAACAGTAAGCAACAACTTTTTCGAATTTAGGCAAACACGACTGTCCGATAGCAACTATTGTGTATTGATCTAACCCATAAAGTAAATGCGTTGACATTCGTAAGCCTTTACCTAAGATCTTAAGCCCTTACTAATTCATTTCTTCAGTCACTCGTTTATCAAACTTGTTGCAAAAAATACTAAAACTGCTGTTACTACTATTATTAAAATACATTACGAGAATTCACAAAAAACTGTATTACGTAAACCCTTAATTTAAATATGTTCATTAAACAAAAAATTAGATGGCTACATTTTTCTTAGTTGCATTACAATTTGCCAAAAACAAAGAAATAAGGAAGCTTATCCCAAGTAAAACTTACTATATTTTCCACGCTCAATGTGACACATGGTATTTCCAGCATCGCCGATCGTTATCCTGTACATTTTGTCCAGTTTGGTTTTGCTCTCGGCCAAAGCGATATATACTGGATAAGAATTTGTCTTGATTTCGATAACGATATTTTCACGGTTCCTTGGCGATGGAATCCATTCGTACTTGTAATTGTCTGTCGTCGATACTATTACGTTTTCTGCAAGTAACGAAAGTTGTAGTCAAAGCTATTTATGGGCTAACCAAAACTAACCATTGGCACAAAAATATGCGCTTTCCGTGTGACTTCTGACAATGCCTTCGGGAAGAACTTTCACGGTGGCTGAATGTACCACCGCACCGGATAGAGTGCTGTTGTCTGAGTTTTCTATTCCTTCGCAGCTTAAACTTGTATATCCATTTACTTCAACTAGAATAGTAGCGTCACTGAATTCATGAAATTAACTCACATCCGAGAGTTGGTTTAAAAAAGCAATTTATAACTGTGAAAGACCCAAGAGAATGCATAAATACCGAAATTCGTAAAAACAATTATTTTAGTTGTGATCAAAAAAATTTATTTTTGAAACATTAAATAAACTTCTGCCGTAATACTAAAAATAGGAGCACCGTACAAAATTTCAATCTCCTTTCTGTTTTAGTGCGTAAATAAAGCTAAACATGGGAGTTTTACCAGTAAAATTTTTCATTCCCGCTGTGGTCACTAGAATGCGAACGACCAATGATGTGGCACCGCGTGGACCCAATCTCAACCGTTCCGTCACATACAGCAATCCGTTATTTACAAACTGAGCTCCTTCACTTAGAGCTAACAGCGCTGTAACCTAAAACGGTATAGGTACAGGTAATTTACGAATGTTGACAAGAATTTAGAAAACTCACGTCGACACACGAATTCAAATTGTTTCCAATTTTAATATCGACCTCGAGCGTTTCGCGTACCCTCATTGAAGAGGGGAGTCGAAATTCCACTTCCAGCGGCCTAAATTTTTAAATGCGGCTTATTTCACTCTCTGATATGTTTTCAAATCATCTTACCTAAAAACTTCGATATGCGTTGGCACGGAGAACCTGAGACCCGCTTTTGAAACGGTTAATGCCCATACCGACCAACGTCCTGCATCTTTTGGTGCGTTTATTGAGACTTTTGTGGAGCCGACTTCAGATCTGTAATATGCAAAACTAAATTTTATAGCATTTGTAACTCGTCTAATATCAGAGGCTTAATACAGAATTATCTAATGTGGGTTGTTTTAGTCAGATAGAGATATAAATAAATTAAGAAGTAAAAGTCAAAATGAAGCCACTTCCAAAGTTTTCTTTGTCTACTAAAAATTGTAAAATAAAGGTCATTTTCTATACTGCTTGCGGATAGCGCCAAAACCAACTAATACAGTCACAATAAAATATACATATATATTTGGAATATGAAAGAAAGGCAGGTGCACAGAATGTATCAACTCTATTTGGATATTTCTGACAACATCCAAGTAGTTCCAATATTATCCAATATGTTCTAATTGGTAGTAAACACCATGTTGTAAACAATTGACAGTATATCCAGAATGATTCTAAATGGTCGTAGGAAGTGCTAATATTTTTACCGCTACGAGATGTTACTGCTGCTTTAAAAATTTATTTATATAAAAACGAAAAGAGTAGAAATAAAAACCCAAACTACCACATCTTTAGTTAAGTATTCTTAAAAATAAGTTCTATTTTGCCTTTAGAATATGCAAATTTAACCCTTAAATGGTTTATTGGAGTTAACGCTGACCCCAAACTCAATAAATCTTATAAAAATCGTGCCATTCAATAGCCGCATCAATCGACGTCGCTTAGTCGGTGCCTAGCGGGCAAATCTATAGGGTGCACAGTTGTGGTAATACGGCGCGTTGGGGTCAACACGGACCCCAATATACCAGTTAAGTTAATATTTTTGATGAAATATGGCGCGCAAATTTTTAACTCCTAAAGAGCTTAGATGGTGATCTAGAAGAAGGGTCAAGTGTATCTGTCTGATGCTGAAAGCTAACACACAGACCACGACACTGAATCAGAAAAGTATAGTCAGATGGAGATAATATTCAAGATGATTCGAATAATTTCCTATCTGGCGACGAATCCAATGAAGAGCTCATCATCTGATTATTTCTACGGTAAAAATATATTCCAATTCCTGCACATAATATAATCACCCCCCTTCCGCTTTTGAGAGGACTAGCGAGACTAACTAACCCAACTAGTCCCCTTAAAGCTTGGCAATTCTTATCCCGACCTTATTCTAGAAATCATTTGGGAGCATACTAACTAAGATTACAGAATTGCGTTCCACATATCACAGTAAAAATGTTACGTACGCTAATCATCAAAGTATGTCTCAACTCAAGGCAGTTTTGAGTTTGAATATATTAGCCGGCGTTTTTAAATCTTTCGAGCTCTAAGCCATTTTTGCCATTTTTGCTTTTATTATCCGCGATACGATTTGACTATGCTGATACCAGATCAGACCGAATTACATCTAGTGACACTGCAGCTGCAATTTCTGAAATGTTTACAAATTTAATAAAAAATTGCAGTACCAACTACACATGTTGCGAATTTGCAACCGTTGACGAAATGCTGGTGCCGTTCAGGGGAAAATGCAAATTTAAGATGTATATAAAGAGAATATCTGCAAAATACGGGTTAAATATTATGTGCCTATGTGATGCTAAAATTCACTATCTTATCAATACGTTCATTTATACTAGCAAGAATGTTCCAAGAAGAAACCGAAAGAAATTTTAATTCTAATTTTAGACGTGTTAAATCTTGTTTCACCGAATTAAAATATGAATAGGAATATTACGGGAGATAATTGGTTTACTTCTAATGCGTTAGTGTCTGAACTTAAGTAGAGAAGTCTAACGTACGTCGATACTATGAGAAAAAATAAATGTGACATTCCGGCACAGTTCCTACTCAACAAAAATCGCACTTCAATATTTGGTTTTACTAGGGACAGAACACTAGTTTCCTTTGTTCCAAAACCAAACAGGAGTGTAATATTGCTATCGTCAATGAGCCATAGTGATTACGTCAATAGGGGACCCAACAAACCAGAAAAAAAATGAATTTTATAACTCTACAAAATCAGGTGTGATCAGTTTTAATCAAAAATGCGCGAGTTATTCTCGTAGTAGAAGGAGTCGAAGATGGCCTCTAACAGATTTTTTTGCTATGCTATATATCTCGACAGTACACTTACACTATATATAGCTGTGAAATTGGAAAATAAGATCAGCAGAAAATTTGTTAATGTATTAATTGGAAAAGCCCTGATACAAGAACATTTACAACAACGGATCGCACTGAATATCCCTAGGGAAATAAAAAACATAATAATAGCAGCAGGAACAGCAGAACAAAGTCAACCCGACGCCACTGATTTGCAACCTCCTCAAAAAGGAATGAGATGCTCTCTATGTCCACGATCGAGAGATAGTCTCCAATAACGGGTTCAAAATATGGAAAACCTGTTTGCAAGAAACATTCTGAACAGAGATTTGTCTATAACGCCTGCACTGCAGCATTGGAAATGCAAGAGAGAACGTCACCGTAATTTTTTTTGTTACGGCTGGTAAGAAGCGATATTACGTCGATTTGGAAGAATCAAAATGTTAGTTTCGGTTTTAGTGCCAATTTTGCAGAAGCCGATAAACATTTTGTTTATTTTCTTTTAATACATTGATGCCTTTTTATTTTTTTACTAAATAAATACTTTATAATTTTGTACGGTATTATAACAGTTTTTTCAATATTATGTTACCTTATTTCTTAAAAAAACATATTTCGCACATCAATTTTAAATAGGGGTCACCAGCGACGCTGTAATACCAGTTACGTTATAAAAAAAATTGTATCAGTTGAGGGTTAATAAAATTTATTGAAAAATTGTGAATAAATGTTAATAATTTTCTGCACTATATATTAGGCGCTACGCATTAATGTGAGAAAGCGAAGGTTTTACATGCTCCATAATTTATAAATTTTATTAAGCGATATCAATAATACTTGCTTATTTTGGATCAAAAACCATAATCATCTGCAATGCAAAGTGCTTCCTAGGTATTTCAAGTCTTAAGCTACACTAAAATGGAAATTTTGTCAAAACCTTCTAGTTAATAACTTCAAGCACCTGTGAACATGTCTTGCTGACAGAGTCGGACAATACCGTTGCTTATATTTTGAACTTCCAGCAACCATGTCTAACTAATTTCGGTCAAAACAAAATAATATAACATTGTATACAGTTTGCCGAAAATGTGGTCCGACAAAAACCGCTCCAATAAAACCGTTGCATTACGCTTTTTTGGCACCAAAGTTTAGCCTCGTTGGGACAGAGTTAAAACTTTTTGTCAACAAATTGACCCTTATCAGCGAACTCTGCCAGGAACCTAATTTATCACCTTTGGGGTTTGTTGAAACATGTTGGGGCACAAATATTGTTGTCAGATTTATCTTAGAACATAGTAAACTATTACGTTGTTAATGATTGTTCGCCTGGGTCCAATTTTTATTGGCAGTTAATAATTCTGCACACAAATTACTAGTGATTAAGGTTTCGAAAGGAAACCTCTAATAAAGTTTTTATAATACTCTTTTCTCCAAAAGAATGACAGGTAGTTTTTTCTATATTTTTTTTTAATTATTTCAAATATAATTTTTAGTAAAACTAGGATGATACACATAACAATGATGATTGAGTGGTTGCCTTCTGAAACTTAATCCTTGAAAAATTTTGTTCACAGAGACCTTTTTTTTATAATAAATATTACTTTCGGCTACTTTGTCTCATTCATTCTCAGTTATTCTATACAGTAATTCCACGGATGGAGACAAGTGAACTTTAAAATTCACGATACGTAAAAAAGCTTCTCTTTATAAAAGGAGTTTGCTTGCTTTGAAAATAAGATTCGTAATGCTCATAATTTGTTTATTCTACAGGGTAGATACAAATACAATTCAAAAATCCTTAAGAGTAGCGGCCTTTTTTACAGCTTTAATATAAAATGTTAATAATAGTATATTATGCAAGAAATGCGTTAAACGGCATTTGAATCACGAGTTTATTGACACTTGCGGAGCGCAGCGGAGTTAGTTTTTGGGTACACCTTCGCAAAACAACACGAATATAATCACTGACATGACCGCAGAATTGACAAACGTCAAAATTCAAAATTCAAGACGTGGAAATATCTCCGTAAACATCCGATTGCTCCTAAACCCGTGCGGTAAAATCCCAGAAATATCCGAAGTGACTCGGATCCGTGGAAAACAAAACTGACGTGGTAATGTATAATAATAACATAATAACATATAGACGGGAGTAGAAAATAGTATATTATGCCACAAGTGCGGTAAATGGTATTTGACACAAGCGGAGCGAGTTTTTAATAAACGACGGAGTTAAAAACTTTACCGAACGTGTTGCATACTATACTTTTTCTACGACCGTTAGTTTTTGGGTACATTTTCGTAAAACACGAATACATTCACTGACGAGACCGTCAGAATTGACAAACGTCAAAATCCAAAGCGTGGGAAATATCTCCGAAAACATCCGATTGCTCCCAAATGCGTGAGGTAAACTCCCGGAAATGTACGAAGTGACTCAGATTCGTGGGAAACGAAACTGACGTGGTAAAGTAACGCTTCCCGCACGCTAGATCGGTGGGTAATTAGGGATTTTACAGACGGGAGTAGAAAAATAAACTTACCATTTTAAACTTCAAAATTTCGAATTTAATTTAAAATTTCCCAACTTCCACTTGCCACCTATTTTACTCCAGAAGATGTCTTTATTAGCGGGAGAGTGAAAATTGTTGCCGCTACGTTTGTGAATTTTTGCTTGAAAATCTGTGACGTATTTTAAATTTGAAAACGATTTTTTTAACATTTTGTAATAGAGCTGCAGTTCTGTAGATATACTGTATATCGCGTGTAGGTTTTTAATTTCCTCTTTTAATTCTCTAACTCCTGTTAAACTGGTGATTTTAGCATTCCGCAAGAGAAAATGTCAGGAAATATTTATTTAATTTATATTGGGGAAAGTTCAGTAACTACTACATACCAAGGGGTCTTTAATCGCTGTGGTATTGTCGAAAAGATTTATACGTTTAAGACAACTAATTAGGTTTTACTGAAATAGCGGAAACTTATAAGTCTGCGGTTAGTCAAATGATGATGTGACATTGGAATGGGGGAGAGTTTGTCTGAACTATTAAGTTTTTGTAGGTTGTTATTGGAATGGTCGTTAACTTGTTATATAGAACCTACAAATTGTGATATCCTCGGAAGTTAATTGCAGCAAGTATTCAACAACCAGTCGAAACTAGAGAAAATTTGACTGCGTCATTGAACTCTGCAACTACAATTCTGCAAACGTGGGGCAGAATGGTAAAAACGAAACTATTCTAGCTCTGAAACGACACAAGTATTTTTTTTAATAATATATCTTTGTGGGTGTAGGCCAATCGTATACTTCGCAGTACACAGTCGTCAAATTGTTTGCAGTACGGATCTGCAAAATATCAATTGTGAATCAACTGTCTATAGAGAGTGTGTTTGAACCCAAAGCGAAGGATGTTGAGTGTATTCCTTAAATAATTTTGAGAGTCAAAAGAATCTTCTTGCTCGAGTGCTTTTAGCAATCTCTTTGCTGAATTTTATCCTTTTGACTGGCATCGGCATTTTTTTTCAAATTCTTGAAGTCATAATAAACTACTATTTAAGATCGTTCTTGTGAATGAAAACAGTAACTGTAATAATATGTAACTGTAACAATCTGAACTGCGCCAATATGATGCGTGTATTCGGTCATAAAAGAAAACACTATATACATTTCACCAACATTGAACAGCTCTGCTAATTCGATATACCAATTAGATTAACTCACGTTGTATTGAAGCATCTCCACATCCACAGTTGATCAAACGGTGCTCCGCCCACTAAACTTTCAGGTGGTCCGTTGCTTCTTTTCGAAGGTCCAGCTCCGGAACCTCTTTGCCTAAATGAGATTATCGATGCTCCGGAATCACCCCTGCGTGCGCACTGCTGTTGGTAAAATGAGACCCCGGCTTCCAAAAAATCGACCTCGCCGGTAATAATCGAATGTTTTTGCTTGTCTTCGCTGAAACAAAACAAATCATTCAATTTTTATTTAGTCGCAAATTTCAATTATTTGCAATTGGAGTACTGTGGATTGTACCTTATTCTTGGATCGAACCTAATATCGCCATTGACTCCATCTCTTCCTCCCAAAAGACATACGAGAGAAGATGGTGCCGCTATCACTTCAACGTCTATATATTGATCAGGAAGCCACCATTCTCTTTCTTCCAGATTTACTGAAACCTAAGAAATTACATTTAGTGGTTCCTTATTTTAAATATATTATATCATTTTGAGAATCCTGAGACAATTTAACAACAGTTTAGGCCGAAGTTCAGAATCCCAAGTTATTAATTAGCATGAAAACCTTTAAGAAACATATAAAATGTACTCTTTACACATTCACTTTGTGTTAACGAGAGTTGGATAGGAGTAATCAGAAACGCTTGAGACAATAAAAGAAGGTATTACGCTTGAGAAGCGAGAAACAGAGTTAAGTCCAGTGGGATTGGACTGTGTCCTAAATTTGCCTCAGATTTTTGTTTGTTATATAGGGTTCGCAAATAAAGACCAGGGAAATGATAAATTTTGGCTAGAAATACTAGAAATTTCGCACCCCCAGGAAGGCTTAGGTTTCAAAGCTATTTACATCCAGTTTCTGACTTAATGGTAAGTAAATATTTTAGAACTTAGGATCTATTAAAAAATATCATCTATGTGGGTCTCGAAGCTTTTAAATTCTACTAGCTTACCTGTGGTTCTATAAGTTTCACGTGGAAGCTAATGATGTCACTAACTGGTTCGCCTTGCGGGGTGACATAGTAGATCAACAACTGGCTTACGGGGGCCATTATGGATTTCACGGTGAAACTAAACAAATTAGGAAATTATAGTTGTCGAATCACCATGAGATGAATGAAATCTATTTTGTTCAATTTAACGTTCAACAGGACCTTTTAATAGCCAAATTTTAGTCGCATTAAGTAATTTAAGCATTAGGACCATTTTTGCACTGACAGTTCCTAGCAAAATTTATTCGAGAGCTAATAAGAAAAATTAACTTCATAGTAAAACTTGCTGCAGCTGCGCCAGTAACCGAACAACGTTCGTTAAAATACTTTCCTATCAAATTCAGCCCGCCTTGAGCAACATAAGCGTGTGAATTGAACCGGAAATAATCCTCCAATAATCCCTCTGAGTAGGGACAAAACGGTAACCTGGACACCGATAACCAGGGAGAAGCATTTAATACTAAGCTTTCCCAACTTCCACTTTAATCCCTTGTACGATGAAATACCCCGCGATTAGAAAGTTTACTGCAATGGCATAATAATTTCTAGCGGTATAAGGAATATCGCATAGTTGAGAAAAAACGGGATCGTCTAAGCAAAGCCAGGTAGTACACAAAATAGAAATTAAACGAGAGGAAAGCAATCACCAAGTTGATAAATAAACCGCTGGAATTTGCCATATCTTCATGAAGTGAAAGATGTGAAACACAATCTTTTCTTTGCCTGACTTATATCCGCCTTTCATATTGGGCCAATACGGAAGACGGATATAATTTAGATTTTTGCGAGAGTGTTATGTATTTTTACAAGTTTTTGAATGTTTTCAACTTGCGACAGTCAGTTTCAATACCGAAATTGGAATTCTAAAGTTTTATGAAGTTCTATAGGTAACAACAAAACTACCTACTTAGACAAGACAATGATATTTTGTGATAGTATAATAATATAATTCATAAAAAATGATTCCATTATAAGAATATCAAAAAGTCAGAATAATAGAAATATAACAGGACCGTATTATCAAAAATTTGAGAGATAATACTTTTTGCTAGTTAAAACATGGCAAAAAAACATTCAAATTTAATCATCATAGGAAGCATCTCGAATGGATATAAATTGTGAAAAAAAAAAATCAATACTTAAAATTTTGACTCTGCTGGCGGTTCCGAAAAAGAAATGCTTCGACTTCAAGTTTTAAATCCGTCATTCTATTTCTGTTAAAAACTTTACATGATCAAAATATTTCTCATATTAAGGAAGTATCCAAAAAGTAGGATAGTAATGTACAAACGACATCTTGGAATCTTCAATAATAATGGAATTTCCCATCAGGACACATTGACAATGGGTCATCTTAGGGGACATCCTGTGTACAACATTTTTCATAACTTTCTTGAATCAAAAATTTCAGCTAGGAACATGGTACTGAGAATAATAATAAATAGTGAGGGTTTCACTTAACCGATTTAAAGAATTACCACAGAAAACTTATACCTACTTAAATTTGATTTTGCAGTGATTTCCTCCGTTTGTTAACTCCATAATCGAATTTTGCTCATTGTTCCGGTCTATCCAGTACGTGATTTGGCCGTCTGTTGTGATAGCGAGCTGCATGTCGTTATCACAGGAACATGTCGATAAAATCGTCACATGAGCTTTCTCGTTGGGCTGAAATAATATCAAATTCTGCAGGATGTAAGATTTTTTTTTTAGTTCAATTTCAAAACTTTGAAGAATACAATTCTGCGAAACAAAGTGTCGGTTTTTTAAAATACAGAAAATAATTGATTTGTCAATACACTTCACTAATATCATTTAAAAAATTATTACCACATATTTCTTTTAATTTAAATAATCAGAGTATAGCAAAGTACCACTAATACGGAAACTCACTTGCAGTGTATGTTCCATATCCTCAATTAACAGATAACAATCTGATGAAGAATTCCATTTCTGTATGGACTCGCGGGCTAGCACGTAATGACTCTCTATTTCTTTGCTATCAACTGATACCAACTCGGCCTGAAAATAGAAATAGTTACCAGTCACTTCAAGTTTCGGTTTAGATTTATAAGGAAGTGTCCAACAAATGCTGACCTCAAGTTCTTGTTGAGGAAATGTTATAATTATACAGATAATACATATCCATAAATAGAATATTTGCGAATAATCAACTAAAACTAACTAAGCTGGACAAATATAATCCAGATCAATATTCAATAGCAAAAACTAACTAATTGGTGAAGACAAGGACGTCATTTCCAGCTGTTACGGTTTTAATTGATATTCTGTTTCTTTTTCGAAGATATTAAGCAATAAATCTCGGACAGATAAATTGATACAATAACTTCTTGTCGCAAAGGCCATAAATTCCATGAAATCCTTTATTGGAATCACGTCGTGCTGTTCTTGTGTGTGAAACCCACGCCGGTTCTACGACTTTTTAGAGAATTTTCTTTCACGGAAAATATAAATAAATTGTCTGGGACCGAGGACTTGGAAGTTGGTGCTTAATACGGATATATTTTGCCCACAGAAATATATACGACTACGTGTTACCCTAAAGAGAGAGGTAATCACTGAGACGTCTTGCCTTTGTTATATTGTACTAATTTTTTGTAAGTATTTTGTTTATGTAAGTAAAGTAATAATAATTTCAAACATAAACTGAAATGCGTGTGCTATACCGACAAAAGAAGGTATCAAAAACATAATAATAGTGGAAGAAATAAACAAAACAAAAGCATTGGAGTATTGGAAAATAAAAACAAAATTGGGTAGACTGAAACTCCAAAATAGGAGCCGTTGTGATGAATTCGATAACCTAATTGAAGTTTACCTGAAGTGCAATTGTATCGCTATCAGCCATTATCGACGGAACAATAAATGTGCCTTCCCCATTAGAAATTTCTATATCTTGAGAATAAATGCAAGTCGTATTATCGAACACTTTCACCCGAACTCGCACTGATTTTTCGGTACTCATCGCCTGCACCTAAAAAAATGGAAAACCGGAAATTACATATTCCTCCGGTACATATACAATAAAAATTCGATGACATCGATAAGTTGCAATATACGTTTACTGAATATTAGTAAAAGTTTTTTGTTCGGCCCACCTTTCCAGCGAATGGCAATCCCGGTTTGTATCTTCTACGCATTTCGTTGCTAAATCGCAATTCAACATAATGCTCTTCGGCGACAGCGACATCTGGCAATCCCCAGTTTGTATTTGGCGTTACTTCTACAGCGACGAAAAATTCAGCTTGGTCTACATCGACTTGAAGTACCCATCGACCAATAAGTGCATAGGGGCTCAAAGGTAAACTAAAGGATTTCACTCCTAGAACCCATATAAAATTTTTTCGTGTAGGAATTAGAACAACACAGCCTAGGCAGCCACCGAAGCTCACCTTCGTCTAGTGCCACTTGATCCCATATGGCGACCTTTGTTCCCTGGGGATCCTTCACGCTCACGCTACCAATAGCTCCCATGGCTATTTGTAAATCGTGATTCAAAGCTAAGATCCAGAATAAAACTAAAACAAGAATTTCCGTATCGATTTTACGACCAAAACTCTTATTTGCTAATATAGAACGGTAGTAGGAGTAGGTCAAAAGTCAAAGTAGTCAAAAAACGGGATATTTTTGAAAATTAGTTCTATATAAAAAAATTTGCACTTTTTTAACTATATCCAAAATTGTTCACGGCTCACAGTTCATTTTATTTCCACGAATATTATAATAATTTTATAACTGAAATGCTAGTTTAATATTTTTTTGTGGTTATTTTTTTATTGATTTTTAAAACGTAGCTTTTTCATTAAAACAAAATAAATCATAAATACTGAAAGATAACAATAAAAACGACAACTCAAAATACATTTTATTATATATTTTCAAAAAATGAAATCCAAAAATTTCTAATTAAAATAAGTCCATCTCCAAAATAATATTTTGGAAAAAGAGTATTCTATTCCAATTTATTGAAGTGAGTAAGTGTGCACAATTTTTTTCCGGTGGCTCTTTCCATTTCCCAAATCCACATCCATAGCTTGGAGACATACAGGATTGTCAAATTTATTAGTAAGTATTAAACCAGTAAAGTTACCGGAACTGTGATTTAGATGCATAATGCCCTGATGTCAGCGTTTCTATAGAAAGTGCCTTTTCGAGAACGATTGTGTGATGTTTTTTATTAGTTATTTTTCCCTCGTATACTATTTTGATTTCCAACTGTAGAAAACCTTTCCATTTATTGCTTCTTAAGCATCTAATATAATATGCAAGTATCTATTTGAATATTACTTTCAGTGATGAACTTGAACTTTTTGTCGGTGTTTTCAACGCCTCTTTTGCATCGATAAGGCTAGAAAAATTTTGTGATACTTTCGGTATTATTTTGTTGCGATATAAATGTTATTATTATTATTATCATTATTATTATTATTATTATTATTATTATTATTATTATTATTATTATTATTATTATACCTAATGTAATAATTATAAAATTAGGTTAGGTTTTTATAAAAATATTAAAATGTCCAAGTAGACAAACAAAACTTATAATTTCGATGTTGTAGTAGTTTAAAAATTAGGACACATTATAGAAAAAACTGGTGAATTTCTTTTTGTACGCTATTTTGGTGTAACTACTTTTTTCCTAAAAAAATCGCTAGTCGACGTCGACGCCTCAATTTTGGTAGCTTCATGGTATTATGCACCTAAAGTCACCCAGGCAATCCTATTAAAAAGACCACCCCCAATATTGTTACTTTACCAACTAGATAGAATATTTACTACTTTAATATCAGTATGCTTGGCGAATCCTCCCGTGTGTCACAAAGGCATTATAATTTCAGATGCTAGAGTTTGATTGCACAGTCGAGAAACTTTAAGATCAAAGGGTTAGGGAAATATAGATCTGAGGAACCGTAAAACAATATTTCTTAACTTCAAAAGTTAGTAAAACGAACCTATAGAATTTTGTTAAATTGATTAAATTAATATTTTGGGTCTACGAATCCATAGCAACAAAACTGATTTTATTATTTTTTATTAGAATGTACATCCAAAATTACATTCATTTCTTTAAACACTTTGTCTACATGAAACTTATTTCGCATAGAAGTTCTTTTAAGAATAAAGACAATTTCGAAAGAGAAGGTTAGAGGATCTTATGTGGGTCATCCTGTACAACGATAAGTCATAAGAATAAAAGCTCTTTTCGGTACGGTAAAAAACATTTTACTGCGGCGGAAAGGCTGAACAAATATAATTCTCAAGGGAGCAAATAAAAACTGAGAAACTGGGTCACAAAAGATCAAAATTTATGTTGCCCGGAGTTTTATTAATATTTAGCGAGTTTCCGGGACGCGTCAGCCTACACACCCCAATACATTTACAACATAATCTTCTAAAATTGGCCGAGGAGATCCCGATTTCGGGCGTTTCGTTTGACAATAATTGATATATACCACTTTATTTGTTGGTCGGTAGGGTCAGGATGCCTAAATTTGGCCGACAGGATGAGTTGAATGAAATATATTACAATACTTACATTAAATGGCTTTAAATTTAAGGTCTGTTTAGACGACAATTCCATTTAATTATATGTTTTTTTTATTAAAGTTTTCCCATTTAAACAGCATTAATAATGGTTATATTATTCAGTGCTCACTTAGTAACAAAAAAAAAATAGCAATTTGTTTATTGCCCAATTTTGTAAACCTGCTAAACTACTTACTGCACTACAATGATTGACTTCATTAATTGTCGAAATATTGAAATGCGGTTTCGCATCTATAGGGATCCGAATAAATTCAATAAACCACAACAAAATACAGAAAATTTCGAAACCAATTCGAATTGTTTGTCATTGATAATCGCTTATAAATCTATTTGTTTGTCCAAAGGAATTACCAGAAATTATATTCCACAATTTCAAATGAATGCGCACTGGCAGTGAAATAAATTGACTTTATGCCCCTCATATTTCGGAGTTAATTTTGTTCATTTATCACCTGAGACCTTGTTATTAATGTTTTACCGTTTTTTGCCCATATTTACGGTAAAAAACTTGAAAGAAACAAAATCTGACCAATTTGACAATTTATGACGATTGCGATATGAACACAGGAAGTATATTTCGCAAATAAGAAAATGATTTTTATTTTAGACGGTTTCAATGATGGTTACTTGCACTATATTCAGGGCTTCTTAAACTTTTTTATATAGCGACCCCCTTCAAGCTTAGGAAATTTTAAACGACACCCTCCTCCATATAATCAAACATATATTAACCGTAGATGTAGATGTAATATCGCACTATTTTACAATGTAAATAAAATAAGGATTAAAGAATACGTACCCATTCACTTCACATATATGTAATTGAAACGTTGACGGGATATCGGTTGTAATAAAACACAATAAATAGAATGACATAAAACTATATATATATATATATATATATATATATATATATATATATATATATATATATATATATATATATATATATATATATATATATATATATATATATATATATATATATATATATATATATATATGACACTATATTCCGGGATATCATCCGTTCGCTCGTTGAACTCCGACTGGAATCCTGCATCCGACTGGAATCCTGCAAATCCTGCATCCGACTGGAATCCTGCAGACGTTTCGCCAAAATCTCACTTGGCATCTTCAATGCTCGCGCTCCGAAAACACTTCGAGGTGTTCGAAGTGTTTTCGGAGCGCGAGCATTGAAGATGCCAAGTGAGATTTTGGCGAAACGTCTGCAGGATTCCAGTCGGATGCAGGATTTGCAGGATTCCAGTCGGATGCAGGATTCCAGTCGGAGTTCAACGAGCGAACGGATGATATCCCGGAATATAGTGTCATCATATTTTTCCATCCGTGAATCAATACGTGAGAATATATATATATATATATATATATATATATATATATATATATATATATATATATATTTATTTATTTATTTATTTATTTATTTATTTATTCAATAGAAAAAATAAACTTTTGTAACAATTTTTTTAATAAAAACATATTATTAACATCAAACAATATTAATGTGACGGATGTGTTTATTTTTACACAAATAATTAAATCTAGGTTCAATTTGAGTTAGTGCAGATCGTAATAAATTTTGAACGTTTATTAAAGTTGAACGGTATTTTGATTTTATGTAAATTAATGTGGAAAAGGCTGATTCACATAAATATGTTGTACAAAATGGCAGTAATTTGTTCATTGCCATTTCCGATAGTAGCGGATATTCTGATTTGATTTCTATCCAGAATTCATGCACAGGCACTTGAGAAAATCTGAGTCGCAAGGTAGTTGTTAATTCGGCAAATTCTTCTTGCGCTTTTAAGTTTAAAAAATTAATTTCTTCCATTTCAATTGCAAATGGATTGCAAATCCATTGTTGTGTATCGATATCATTGGGAAAATACCTATGCATGTAAACTTCTATATCCTTCAAATGATTAACTATAATTTTTGTTATAGGAGTATATTTTTTTGAAATATTGTTACTAACTATATACTCGTCAGTAAATGGAAACATTTCGAGCGATCCACTTTCCACTCTGTTCTTCCATATAAGAATCTTTTTAACAAAGGCCTCAAGTTTATTTTTTAATATAAACATATTAACGCAGACTCCCTGCATTGATAAATTCATATCATTGATTTTATCAAAAATATCTGCCAAATAGCATAGCTTGAGAAGTCGTAAATTATCGTGAAAATAATCGGCCAAATTAGAATTTTGCTCTGTTAGAAATATAAGAACTTCATCTTTTAAAGTTAATAATCGTTTCAAACTTCGACCTCTTGATAGCCACCTAACTTCAGCATGTAGCAATAAACTTGTATAATATGCTACTTCCATATTTTCATTTATAGGCCCTACATAACAGTTTTGCATTGCCACTTTTTTCAAAAAATAGTTAAAATAAAACTACAATAGTATTTTGTATGATTTTTATTTGTATTTATATTTGTACGTAGTGTGTATACTAATTTTAAAATTTTATTTATAAGGATTGAAAAGTATCAGATCTTTGCGACCCCCTTTCAGTAGTCTCGCGACCCCCCTGAGGGTCGCGACCCACAGTTTAAGAAGCCATGCAGTGACTATATGACACATTTGTCAGACCACATAATAATAATAACAAAAACAGCATTTATTCGTTTAGACAAAATACGTTAAGTAGAATATTATTGGTTGGGGGGAGACAGCTAACAATGCAACCCCGTAATCCCAACAACATGCAACCCCGTAAAGCAAAGAACCAGCCCTAGATATACCTGATCCTGAACTGAATTAATGTAAAACAGAAAAAAGAAGATGGACACTACTAGAGCAAAATAAACAAGTTATGAAAAAAAGCATACAATACATACAATATAAAAAAATAGATAAAAAGTTAACAGAAAAAAATAAGTAACACTATTTTACTTAGATGTTCGGTCTCTGTTGTCAAAAATGTGTCACTTTACGATGCGTATTAACTTAATGAATATCTGAGCTTAAGTAAGTATCTTGACCTTGGAGAGTGGTTATTTTTAAAGTTAATACTAAGAGCTGCGAACTAATAAGAAAATCTGCAACAGTCATTCTGAAGACGCTAATTTTGCCTCTTTGAAATAAAGTAAATAAAGTTCAAATCAGTAGACTGTATTACAATATGAAATGTATTACACAATCGGTCAATTTTAACCTAATAGCTGCGGTTAACACATATTTGTGTAACATCAACTTTGGAAATGTGGATATTAAGAATAATTTTTGTTATAATGCACTCGTTGATCTGATCTCTAGGACGACAGATAAAAGAAAATAATGTTTACGTTTGACCTTAAATCCATAAATAAAAATAAAAATTAAAAACGATTCTGTAAAAAAAATACTACCTAGTTTAGTCAAAAATAATATGACCTTCATGATATCCTGCAAAGTATTAAGAGGTTCTGAGTCCTTAATGTTATTGAAAAGTTTTCGATAGTTATAAAAGTTCAAGTAATTTCGGAAACATCAGGAAGAAAAGGAAAATAACCAGAAAACTAAAAAATGGAAAAACACAAGTTTATAAAAGAATAGAAAGAAATATTAAGAGTAATTTCAGATTACACACTGTGAATTTGAAATAGGTATAGATAATATGCCCTTCCTCAGGTTCAGGATAAAATTTTCGTATATAGATCTGGTTTATTTTATATTGATTAGTAATTATGTGCTTACATAAAAAATAAACTTTTAAAGTAGATAATAATATTAACAATCAAGGTAAATTATTTATTTTTGTATGATTATGTGCCTTGTCCTTAAAAAACCTGTAAATAATTTTTGAAAATCTTAGTGCCCTTAAAATTAAGCATTCAACTTGGTTTTCTTAAACGTAGTGCTGTTTTTTGTTTATTCGATCCGTATCTTGAAATTACTGTGACTCTATAATATCAAATTTTGTTCAGTCGTGGCGATATGAAAATGAAAATTAATTTATTACAATTTTGTCAGCAAGTCTGTTTTTAAAAATACTATTTGCACCTTTGCCAATTTGCTTTTTGTTTTTACTTGCTTTTCAAGGTTGTAGAAACTATTTTTCATCAGACCTAGTAAAAGCTTTCTAATATTTTTTTTCAAAGAAACTTTCACAGGCTACTGTAATGCTTCTTACAAAACTTCTCTATTCCTCCTGCGTCGGTTTTTGCTTAGTCGAAATTGCTGACGTTTCGCCAATCATCCTGTTGGTTTCTTCAGAGCTTGACTGAAACTGGCTCGTAACAATATATAAGCAGCAACAATATATTAGCAGGTATAGAGTAAAATACGAGCCAGTTTCAGTCAAGCTCTGAAGAAGCCAACAGGATGATTGGGGAAACGTCAGCAATTTTGACTAAGCAAAAACCGACGCAGAAGGAATCCAGAAGTTTTGTAAAAAGCATTTCTAATATTAATTCTAATTTAATTTTCAACGTTGCAAATATTATGAATTGGATCTTTTACTATTGATTAGATAAGACGTTTTCAAGTTCCGATTAATAAATATTTTTATCGACTTTAAACCGATATATGCTAGAGCCGAAATAATGACAACAATAGAACCCGATATGTAGTCAACATAGTTGTATTGATTGTCAATTGTTTTACATTTATGCATAGTTTCCACAAAATGTATTCACCATTGAAGTTGGTTATACTTACGGGTCTCCCCCGGTCTGTAAGTATGGCTGGCAGGTCTAACGATAACGTCCCTCACCGGACCGACCAGACGCATTTCCGATGAGCTTCTCAGTCCGCAATGGTTCCTATCTTTTTCCCTTCCTGCTGTCACGGTGCAGTTAATTAGAGTCTGCAGAAGACAGCTTCCGGAGGCATCCGCTGGCACTTTCAAGGGAAGGATGCCGTGACCTGAAAACGAAGGGAAAATGGAAAATAATAAAAATAAACAACCGTCGTTGCACTGACTTGTAGAAAATAATTTGCTTTTCATTCCAAGTAGTTGGAAATATTTGGAACTTAAATTACTATCCGTTCTGACCCACCAAACCAAGCAGAGTGTTTAAATTGTTAAACTTAAATTTGAACAATTTTATGTTTGATGGTGGAATGAACATATCTATCCAACATTAATACAAAGAGCCATCCGTATAGTAAGATACCTTTGCGACATTCCGATTTGCAAAATATATTGTAATATACGTAATATATCAAGCAAGAATAATTCTCGGAGAAGAATACAAGCCACTGCGAATAAAATCAAAGGTTCTCAAGATGGATTGTTTGTTAAAAATTGTGTCATTTAAAACAATAATTATTACCAAAAATATTCTTTGAACAAGAACCTGTTTTACAATAGAAACAATGTTTGCAACGGTCATGTCAGTGAATGTATTCGCAGAAAACAGTCGTAGAAAACGTATAGTATGCAGCATTCGTTTATTAAATACTCGCTCCAATGCGCTCCGCTCGTGCTAGAGAAACTGTTGAGTCAAATGCTGTTTACCGCAATTATTGCATTATATAGTATTACACTGCTAAATCATTTTTCTGTTATTTATATTTTAAGTAAGTGTTTTTTTCATTTTAACCTCAACGTGATATTGATTTGTTGGGTTCAAAATAGTGTGGATTTTTGGAAATTAATTAATTTTTCTCTATAATGGCTCAGAGAAGGAAAGACATGAACTTTATGCAACGATTTCTTGAATAGTTATTCGACACCACAAAAGCTTCTTTAAAATATACAATTTGGTTCGAACCAAAACCGCTGTTCCTTAGACAGTTGACAAACCAAAAACTTTCGTTTTTTCGATCTCAGAAAACTGATTTTTTATTTCGAACTTCTGACACAATACCCAAAAATTCGTATTATCGAAGCCGCAAGGTTTAATTCGCTTTCGATTATTAAACGTCTCCATCTGCTTTGAAACTCAGTCGTCTATGCTGATAACCTCGTTCGAGGCGTGCTCGAATTTCACGGTGATTTTCCGCATTAAAAAAGTTTTAACAGTATTGATCAGTTGATGTTGTCATTGCTTTGAGCAGATTGTTTTTGAAGTTCACTGGTACAGAACTAAGTTGCGTGAAATGTTTCCGAATCGATGGAAAATATAAATTGTGTGGCGAACCTTCAAGGAACGCCGTTCTATCTCGCGATTGCATTTGGTTTGATCTACAAAAGTCCTCTTAACCTCTTATTTTGAGATAAATTGGTATATTTTAAGGTCAATTGGAAACCACAGCTAAATTAGGATAAGCATTAGAAGAAAAACGAGATCAGAACAAGTTATCAAGTTATATCCAACGCTTTTACAGATTTTAGTCAAAATGTATATGCATCTACAGAGTCACATAATGCACGACGGATCAGTTTTAAGCGGATTGACCTCACAATCTAAAATTGAGATAAGTGTTTTTGAGTTCATATTTGAAATTGACTAGAAGTTTTCTTTTTATTTTCACTTTCCGTTTCGTAAATAACACACCCTGTATTCGATCAAATTTTGGGAAGTGAGTTAATAGGCAGTTACAAAAAGCTCAGAAACTCCAAAAGTTCTAATATTGATAATCATTATTATTAAGTTTTTGTATACCCATTATTATCAGTCATATATATAAAACCCTTTATCTATATGTACCTACATAACCTACATGCATGTTACGGATCATTATGACGTATTCAAGCAGTCTCTTAGAAAACAAAGTTATATGTTCTGGTAAGCTCCCCCTCAGTTGATGGACAATATTTTAAACGGAGCACTATAGCACTAACTAATTCAAATATTTACTTAAGCATAAGCATTGAAAGAATATTGCCGGCCGGAATTCAATAACGATTTTTATTTCAACTGTCTAAGTAAATGAGAAAAAAAAGGCTTGAACGGTACCGGTAATAATGGTGGATTTTCACTGAGCCCAGCAAATTTTTTGTAGAATTCGGTTTAATGGGCAGGAAATTACAATAATGCCGTGAGTGCAAAGAGCGTAAAGACAGGAATGAAGGAAATTAACTCTAGGCAGTTCATCAGTTTGAATATTCAGGTCAGGATTAGCTACACGAACAACGGAGGGAGATTTGACTCTCAGCCAAATAATTTATCAAGATACAGGCCTCTCACAAGCCGTGAATGATTATACCGACAGCAATTCATTACTGATCGCCTACAACGAGTGGATTTTGCAATTTTTTGCTTTTAGTTTTGTATCTAATCTTTTAGTAAAGCAATGTCGTAAAAAGGTTTGAAGTAGTCAAACTCTTCCTGTAATATAATTTGGCAATTTTTGTTAATTATGATATGGATCTGTATATGGTTGCTTTTTAGAGATTTTTTAATTGGAGTTATTGAGCATTTCATTCAACGGAACTCCACATTTATATATGTTTACATTAATAAGAAATTATTAAGTTTTATATTTTCTTTATATAGGTCTTTTTTGTTTCTAGATAATGCCCCCAGCATTTATTTATAGAATTGATTTTTTTTAGGTTCTATCGTATATGGAAGTTCAGCATTTTTCAAAACCATAATTAATTAATTAATTTAATTGAAAATTAAACTTAATTCAATTTAATCACCAAAATTTGAACTACCAACATGAAACTACCGGAAGCACAGGAAAAATAGAATGCAAAAGCAGTTTGAGCAGGTGGAATGCAGGAACTATAACTATCGTTTTTTAGATCACCGGTTTTTTTCAAAATTTATAATTGAAAAATATAAGTTAATGATAGTTTTTTAAAAAAAATCCTATTGACTAGCAAACATTTTGCTAGCCCAGATAAAATATTTAAAAGAATGAATTAAAAATGCTCTAAATTTTTGGTCCCTGTTATATAACGATCTGTGCATACGAAATATGTGCTTTCAGTGCCACCGCTGATGCTTGAAAGTTGGTCTTTCGGGATTTTGATCTGTCGTGAAAATTTACACGCCCCATTCCGACTGTTCGAGTGGCAGTCCCTCCACGGGGAGGAGGCCCTAATTTTATGTAAAAAAATAGACAAACTGAACAACAATATTACGTTTACATTTGACATTACCAAAATTAAAAACATTCCCGAATTTAATAAATGAATAAATACATAAATACTAAATCATATTTAACTTGTATGGACTTCCAAATAAATTGCAATACTGAGTGCAGAACTAATACAGCGTTGTAGATTCACGTTGATTCAAGCTGATCATCACACGTTCGCGTTCACTGCTTTTGCCCCCATAGTCTGTATCGCGATAATGGTGTAGTAAAATTACTCGTAAAACCAGCGATGCAGTATAGAAAGTGTATTCATTTTTATCTTTCTAAAATAATGACATCAAAGAGCTCTTAATTAAATTCCAAATGCTATTTTCTATATTTTGCGTAAGTGAAATTTATTCAGGTTAGTGTGGAGAAGTGATTTTATTTCATATGCGATATTGTCTGTATACAGCACAAATTTCCGAAACTTAATAATAATAATAATTATTATTATAATATATAATTATAATAAGAATAATTGAATAATAAAATCTTGATAATAATAAAAAGTCAAAAATTTAGTAAAATGAACAACAAAGTCAACAAACAGAAGGGATACAAAAAGGTAATACGACAAATATGAATAAGTCCGTCGATCCAGTTTTGTGGTAAAAATACAAAGCCGCTAACTAGCGTATTGTTTTCTGAGGTAATAACCACTGAAGAAGGACAAAGTACTATCAATTTTTATACTTGCCATATGCCAGTATCCTAATTTTGAACATCGATTTAAATAATTCGTTTGTCAAAATTAATATCGTTATAAATAAATTTATTTTTTATTTATTTATGCACTGATCAAGCTTACTGAAGTAAGCTTCATCACTCATATTCGCAACCCACTTCGGTCCGTTGTCTTGGTCACGGATTCGTCATGAAGTAAGGGTATTACTATAAATCTATGATATTTTCACGTCTTAGTGTTGCCACAAATGTGTCCTCATTATTTTAAGCGGCTTCTCAAAACTCACCGACAGAGAGAAGATTTACAATTCTGCAGAAATCAGAAAAATAAGTCAACTCGATATCAAATTGACGGTAATTGGATCAAGACTTCGCAATAAGCTATGACGCACTTTGCTTCTAAGTAATTCGAGGTAGCTAAATTATTAATTAGGATAAAGTAACATCCCACAACTTCTCAAATTAAATTGGAGCAGCTTCTCGGGAGTATTCAGAATACCTCAGGCAGGCATCATTTGTAATACATTATTGAAACATAGTGCGGGTTACTAGTTAATTCCAAATATTCATGTGAGTCTAGGCAATAATTCGATAATTATAATCTTTTTCACACTTAAAATTAAATTGACGCCAAATGGTTCCTAAATCACATCATACATTCTACATTTGTTTAAAGTAAGTGTATATTGAAATAACTTTACAAAAATAATGGCATGGACCCAAGGGGCTTGCGTTAACAAGTTTTTTTACCTTCTCCAGAAACTGGGACAGGCTCAATAATGCACAATTTTGTCAAACATAACACATTGACTTGGTCAAGAATATTAACATTGACATTGAACTTGTAAGCTCCTCTGCATTAATAAGACAGAGAGACCGCAAAAGAAAAATTAAATCAGTTTGTTTTTGAAGGGTTCGACTTGGTACCTAGTAGCTGTCGTACTGAATATAATTGGGGTGGATGGTTTACAGTGGACAAAGATTGTGAAGTCGATGGTGTGTCATAAAAAAAAAGAAAGCTTGGTATTAAATTTAATTTAGCATTCTCCTGGTAAACAATATCAGACCACAGATTAATTTTATGTTCAATAAGCTCTGTGGATAATATAAATGCATTTTTACAAAACTTCTGGATTCCTCCTGTCTCGGTTTTTGCTGAGTTTTTACCATCTTGGATGACTGACTGCCATATTGGTGACAGG